TTGTGGGAGATAGCGATGGTAATCTAGTATTTGTGGGAGATAGCGATGTAATCTAGTATTTGTGGGAGATAGCGATGTAATCTAGTATTTGTGGGAGATAGCGAAATGTAATCTACGTATCTTGCTGTGGGAGATAGCGATGTAATCTAGTATTTTTGGGACGATAGCGATGTAATCTAGTATTTGTGGGAGATCGCCGACTGTAATCTAGTAATTGTGGGCAGATCGCGCTGAAATCTCGTACTTTGTGGGACGATAGCGCTGTCAATCTAGATTTGTGGTAGATAGGCGATGTAACTCTAGTATTTGTGAGGAGATAGCGCTGTAATCTCGTCTTTGTGGGAGATAGCGCTTGTAATCAAGTATTTGTGGGAGATAGCGATGTAATCTAGTATTAGTGGACGAATAGCGCTGTAATCTAGTAATGTGGGAGATAGCGATGTAATCTAGTGTATTGTAATGGGATGATAGCGATGTAATCCTAGTATTTGTGGGAGATAGCGATTGTAATCTAGTATTTGTGGGAGATAGCGATGTAATCTAGTATTTGTGGGAGATAGCGATGTATCTAGTATTTGTGGGAGATAGAGATGTAATCTAGTATTTGTGGGAGATAGCGATGTAATCTAGTATTTGTGGGAGATAGAGATGTAATCTAGTATTTGTGGGAGATAGCGATGTAATCTAGTATTTGTGGGAGATAGCGATGTAATCTAGTATTTGTGGGAGATAGCGATGTAATCTAGTATTTGTGGGAGATAGAGATGTAATCTAATATTTGTGGGAGATAGTGATGTAATCTAGTATTTGTGGGAGATAGCGATGTAATCTAGTATTTGTGGGAGATAGAGATGTAATCTAATAATTTGTGTGAGATAGCGATGTAATCTAGTATTTTGTGGGAGATAGCGATGTAATCTAGTATTTGTGGAGATAGCGCTGTAATCTAGTATTTGTGGGAGATAGCGATGTAATCTAGTATTTGTGGGAGATAGCGATGTAATCTAGTATTTGTGGGAGATAGCGATGTAATCTAGTATTTGTGGGAGATAGCGATGTAATCTAGTATTTGTGGGAGATAGCGATGTAATCTAGTATTTGTGGGAGATAGCGATGTAATCTAGTATTTGTGGGAGATAGCGATGTAATCTAGTATTTGTGGGAGATAGCGCTGTAATCTAGTATTTGTGGGAGATAGCGATGTAATCTAGTATTTGTGGGAGATAGAGATGTAATCTAGTATTTGTGGGAGATAGCGATGTAATCTAGTATTTGTGGGAGATTAGCGATGTAATCTAATATTTGTGGAGGATAGCGCTGTAATCTAGTATTTGTGGGAGATAGCGATGTAATCTAGTATTTGTGGGAGATAGCGATGTAATCTAGTATTTGTGGGAGATAGCGATGTAATCTAGTATTTGTGGGAGATAGCGATGTAATCTAGTATTTGTGGGAGATAGCGATGTAATCTAGTATTTGTGGGAGATAGCGATGTAATTTCTAATATTCGCGAAAATACCCCGCTAACTGAATCCAGCATGCTACAATTTAGCCCTGACCACATCAACCAATCAATGTAACGGAATTAAGAGTAGCTAGCTGGCTTACCTCTAGAAATACGATACCAAGTGCTCTGTAACTTTATCAAGTGCAGCACTTGAGTTGTGGGTTGGTTAGCTACAATATCTGGGGGGCCGGGGGGGGGGGGGGGGGGGGGGGGGGGTACACTACACACAATATCTGGCAACGGTGCTACTTTATGAATCAGAATTTGTTGAGGGAAGCCGATCCATGTTTATTGTTTATGAAGTTTTCAGGTTGATTTCTAAATCGTTGTCTATTTTAAGGTTATGATTACTTATCATATTTGATATTAGGAATATGAACAGTGCCAAGATAACCGAAATAACTGATAACTAAATAACCTTCAATGCCTCAGTGATTGTCGTGTGATAAGCATTAAACACCATGCTAAGATCACCGTATAACTTGTTTTCTTAGAAATACATTACCGTGCACGTGGTCTATAACTGCGCTACCTGGCCGTCTATACCGAGCTGTAAATTAAAGTAACACTTAATAAACATGTTAATAGTCTTGTTAATTACCGTTATTGCACTGATCACCTAATAGTAATATTGATATGATTAGATTATGAAAGGCGTGTTGTGTACAATCTAGAAATACCCACGAGGCTTTAATGAGAATGCTCAAGGGAATTGGGACCTGGGACCTGTACAACTTTCCCTTATCACCTGCTGAGTGCTGAGGACTGACAGCCATCCACCAGGCACCTAGGGGCCGGGGGGAGTAGGGGCGGGACCTGCTGAGTGCTGAGTGCTGAGGACTGACAGCCATGCAGGGGCCGGGGGGAGTAGGGGCGGGACTTAACGTCCGTGTATAAAACGCTGTTCACTGCATTGGCAATTATTACAAACAATGCGATAGACATTGTACTATGTCCCATTCTCATAAAGGATCATGCAGGTAGGTGGCTGAACTACTAGACAAAACTAGATTAGTTCCAGGTCAGGTTAGTTATAATTAACTTAGTTAGTTCTGCTAAGAGAAGAGAAAACCAACTCTCTTACCTGTACATGATGGGACGAATGCCAGGGGGTATAAGACCAGTTCTAATTAGATATAAGAGTGGTTGTCATGGTTACTGTAAGGGTGAGCAATGAGCCCTCCATTTGGTCATCTTTTGGTTTTGTGTTAATAGGGGGGGGGGGCCTAATAAACCATTCCAGTTCCAGTTTCCAAGTTGGATTGACACACATTAAAGCCGGTGAGCATGAGACATGGTTCATCATCACATTCGTTATTACTGGGAAGTGCAAAATGCACACTGTAATTCGAGAGAGTTCGACGAATTATAAAGTGAATTTTACCACCAAACCCAACCAATGTTAATTAAAGGGAAAAATTTGTACAGCAAAGTGATAATTCCTTGTATTTAGTTAACTTCGACCTGTCTGAAGTACCAGTCACGTACCAGTCACGTACCAGTCACGTAATTTACACGTGCCAGTCACGTACCAGTCACGTACCAGTCACGTAATTTACACGTGCCAGTCACGTGCTAGTTACAGAAACTGAAGTTTTGCCGACGTGCGAGGGGAACTAATTACCACCAATCAGCTCTGTTTTCTGCTGCTTTCTACTGATTACTATTTACTGTTTGTAGTGTACACTGTACAGTTAGACACAGTTGTTGGATACTGCTATCTCTCTACTTCTCTGAAGATGGCATGCAGATGAAATAAACAATAAACATAATTCGTTATCAGTATAATTGTAAGAAAGTATAAATTATTAATTAATTGGCAAAGATAACATCAGCACTGCTGCACTAATTATAATGAATAGATAATCTGCTTACAAGTTACAATGAAATAGTTATCTGCTTAACCCAGCTAGCCTTAACCCAGCTAGCACCGACCCAGCTAGCACCGACCCAGCTAGCACCGACCCAGCTAGCACCGACCCAGCTAGCACCGGACCCAGCTAGCACCGACCCAGCTAGCACCGACCCAGCTAGCAACCGACCCAGCTAGCACCGACCCAGCTAGCACCGACCCAGCTAGCACCCGACCCAGCTAGCACCGACCCAGCTAGCACCGACCCCAGCTAGCACCGACCCAGCTAGCACCGACCCAGCTAGCACCGACCCAGCTAGCACCGACCCGCTAGCACCGACCCAGCTAGCACCGACCCAGCTAGCACCGACCCAGCTAGCACCCGACCCAGCTAGCACCGACCCAGCTAGCACCGACCCAGCTAGCACCGACCCAGCTAGCACCCGACCAGCTAGCACCGACCCAGCTGCTCCGACCCAGCTAGCACCGACCCAGCTAGCACCGACCCAGCTAGCACCGACCCAGCTAGCACCGACCCAGCTAGCACCGACCCAGCTAGCACCGACCCAGCTAGCACCGACCCAGCTAGCACCCGACCCCTGCCTAGCACCGACCCAGCTAGCACCGACCCAGCTAGCACCGACCCAGCTAGCACCGACCCAGCTAGCACCGACCCAGCTAGCACCGACCCTGCTCTGGTAGACTAGAGCAGCCCTGCAAGTGTGCACTGCTTTAGTGTGCACTGCTTTAGGCTGTAGCCTCCCTGCAAGTGTGCAATGCTTTAGTGTGCACTGCAAGTGTGCACTGCTTTAGTGTGCACTGCAAGTGTGCACTGCTTTAGAGCCCTGCAAGTGTGCACTGCTTTAGGCTGTAACCTCCCTGCAAGTGTGCACTGCTTTAGTGTGCACTGCAAGTGTGCACTGCTTTAGAGCCCTGCAAGTGTGCACTGCTTTAGGCTCCCCCCCTTTAGGCTGTAACCTTCCGTTTAAAGGAACGCCGACCCGTGAAACACAACTTGGCATTGAGAGTTGCTCGTTGTTTTGGAGAAACGCTTCAAATGTCTGTACACTATTGTTGTGCGTTCTTTGACACGGGGAGACAGGGCTTAACTGCGGCCGTGTGGTTCTTTGTAAGGGCAGGAATAAAGGAACTGTTTGAAAAGTAGCTAGACTAAAGATAAATTAATAAGTTTTTGACTAACTTTCCCTAATTAGCCGGGAAAATTGTTCTTGGACGGTTCCTAGCCGGTGGTTAGCTTACTTCCCAGCTTTCCGGCCCAACAGCAACGTTTTATATAACAATAACAATGTTCAGAAATGTGGAAGTAAAATTTGAACTGTTTCGTAACTCAAACTGCAGGAGTAACATTTGAACTGTTTCTTAACTCAAACTGCAGGAGTAACATTTGAACTGTTTCGTAACTCAAACTGCAGGAGTAACATTTGAACTGTTTCGTAACTCAAACTGCAGGAGTAACATTTGAACTGTTTCGTAACTCAAACTGCAGGAGTAACATTTGAACTGTTTCTTAACTCAAACTGCAGGAGTAACATTTGAACTGTTTCTTAACTCAAACTGCAGGAGTAACATTTGAACTGTTTCGTAACTCAAACTGCAGGAGTAACATTTGAACTGTTACAGATCTCCAGCAAGATTCACCATGTCCCGGATAAATAAAGATGTTGGAGATGATCCTAAACAACGAATCGAAAACCTCAACTCCCTCCTGAAAAATCTCATATTTTATTACGAAGTAAATTATATTTTGATAGATTTATTAATGTTGAAAACTTATTATTATAATCTACTAGGCTATAATGTAACAACATGAATAACACTAAACACTACCACTAAACTGCATTTTGGTTAGGTTTCATAAAATTACAAAGAATCTTGTAATTTTACTGATACAGTTGCTTAAGACAGCTGAACAATTAAAACATTCCTGTAAAATATCTTATATCTAGCTGCATTTAACAATAACTCAGGTTCACGCACTATATTACGACACAGGTATCTCTTACGAAAACACTATATTACGAAAACGCTATATTACGAAAACACTATAATATTACGAAACCACTATATTTCGAAAACGCTATAATATTACGAAAACACCATAATATTACGAAAACACCATAACATTACGACAGCACTTTAACCCTAACCCTCAGCCTTAGTCATAGTGCGGTTACCATAACTTATCCCATATCTTCAGGAGATATTAAACAGTATTTTGATCTCAAAACTACCAGATGTACGGTTGGTCGGTTCTCAGCCTCAATCATGTAAGTTATATTATCTATATTTACATAGCCTCTCACTACTGATATCCTATGTTTTAATAACATTCCCATTCCAATTAGCTATTATGATCTGGGAAATATATTTTAGTACTAACAGTTTAGTTTCTAAACATTTTGGGCTATTTGAAGGCATTCCGTTACTATAAATAGATATTGGTATGCATTATTGCAATAAGATATTCAAAAATGAATCCTGTGTGGTCTCAAAACACCTCAATAACCAGTCATTATTTCGATAAGCACTTGGTGCCAGCCAATAAAATATAAAATACCTGGTTTTTCCATAACTGATAACCGTTTAACTTAAAATTCAAATCAAGCTATATCCGAGTCATGCTGTCTTTGGCATGTTTCCATTATCAATATTTGACGTAGTGATGCTTGAAAATGGAATGAGATCATAAAGCAAAAAGATGATACTGGATGGCTATTTATTTCCTAAAATAGATGTATCGTGATGTTCAATCCATTATGTTGCTGCGCAACTTTGACGACAACATAAAACTAGCTCACTATCTGCTAGACTTCTGAACCACTCGATAAAATTTCCAAATCATACATTGTGTAGGGGGGGGGGCTACATTGGGGGGGGGGGGGGGGGGCTAGTGGGGGGGTGTCACACAACATCATGTGTAGGGGGGGGGGCTAGTGGGGGGGGGTGTCACACAACATCGTGTGTAGGGGGGGGGGCTACATTGGGGGGGGGGGGGGGGTGTCACACAACATAATGTGTAGGGGGGGGGGGCTACATTGGCGGACATGTCACACAACATCATGTTTAGGGGGGGGGGCTAGTGGGGGGGGGGGGGGCTACATTGGGGGGGGGGGGGGGTGTCACACAACATAATGTGTAGGGGGCTACATGGGGGGGTGTCACACAACATCATGTGTAGTGGGGGGGGGCTACATTGGCGGACATGTCACACAACATCATGTTTAGGGGGGGGGGGGGCTAGTGGGGGGGGGCTACATTTGGGGGGGGGGGGGGGGTGTCACACAACATAATGTGTAGGGGGGGGGGGGCTACATTGGCGGACATGTCACACAACATCATGTTTAGGGGGGGGGGCTAGTGGGGGGGGGGGGGGCTACATTGGGGGGGGGGGGGGATGTCACACAACATAATGTGTAGGGGGCTACATGGGGGGGTGTCACACAACATCATGTTTAGGGGGGGGGGGGCTACATGGGGGGGGGGGGATGTCACACAACATCATGTGTAGGGGGGGGGTCTAGTGGGGGGGGGTGGACATGTCACACAACATCATGTGTAGGGGGGGGGGCTACATTGGGGGGGGGGGGGTGTCACACAACATAATGTGTAGGGGGGGCTACATGGGGGGGTGTCACACAACATCATGTGTAGGGGGGGGGGCTACATTGGCGGACATGTCACACAACATCATGTTTAGGGGGGGGGGCTAGTGGGGGGGCTACATGGGGGGGGGATGTCACACAACATCATGTGTAGGGGGGGGTCTAGTGGGGGGGGGGTGGACATGTCACACAACATCATGTGTAGGGGGGGGGGGCTACATTGGGGGGGGGGGGGGGGGGTGTCACCCAACATCATGTGTAGTGGGGGGGGGGCTACATTGGGGGGGGTGTCACCCAACATCATGTGTAGGGGGGGGGGGGGCTAGTGGGGGTGTCACCCAACATCATGTGTAGGGGGGGTGTCACCCAACATCATGTTTAGGGGGCTACATTAGGGGGGGTGTCACCCAACATCATGTGTAGGGGGGCTACATTGAGAGGAGGGGGTGTCACCCAACATCATATGTAGGGGGGGGGGTGTCACCCAACATCATGTGTAGGGGGGCTACATTGGGGGGGGGGGTGTCACCCAACATCATGTTTAGGGGGCTACATTGGGGGGGGGGTAGTCACCCAACATCATGTGTAGGGGGCTACATTGGGAGGAGGGGGTGTCACCCAACATCATGTTAAGGGGTGCTACATTGGGAGGAGGGGGTGTCACCCAACATCATGTTTAGGGGGCTACATTGGGGGGGGGGGTTGTCACTCAACAACATGTGTAGGGGGCTACATTGGGGGGGGGGGGGTGTCACCAAACATCATGTGTAGGGGGCTACATTGAGGGGTGTCACCCAACATCATGTGTAGGGGGCTACATTGGGGGGGGATGTCACCCATCATCATGTGTAGGGGGCTACATTAGGGGAGGGGGTGTCACCCAACATCATGTGTAGGGGGCTACATTGGGGAGAGGGTGTCACCCAACATCATGTGTAGGGGGGCTACATTGGGGAGAGGGTGTCACCCAACATCATGTGTAGGGGGCTACATTGGGGGGGGGGGGGGGTTGTCACTCAACAACATGTGTAGGGGGCTACATTGGGGGGGGGGGGGGGTGTCACCAAACATCATGTGTAGGGGGCTACATTGGGGGGTGTCACCCAACATCATGTGTAGGGGGCTACATTGGGGGGGGGGGGGGGGGGGTCACACAACATCATGTGTAGGGGGCTACATTGGGGGGGGGGGATGTCACCCATCATCATGTGTAGGGGGCTACATTAGGGGGAGGGGGTGTCACCCAACATCATGTGTAGGGGGCTACATTGGGGAGAGGGTGTCACCCAACATCATGTGTAGGGGGCTACATTGGGGGGGGGGTGCAGGTGTCACCCAACATCATGTGTAGGGGGGGGGGGCTACATTAGGAGGGAGAGGGTGTCACCCAACATCATGTGTAGGGGGCTACATTAGGCTGCTCAGTGCTCAGAATACTTTCTCCTGGAAACATTGTCCGATGAGGAAAACATCCGAAAATCAAACTAGCTACGTAACTAACGGTTTAATTAACTATCTTACAATACTTGATAATTCTTCCAGAGTCCAACTTTTTACAACGATTTTTCAGATTTGACGGTAGTGGAACTGGAGAAGCTGTTTACGCTTATCCTAGGAGTCGCATTCCAGGTAATACAAGAGCTCAGGAGGTCACGTGACCTTTGTCACTTTGTACTGAACTGATTAAAATAGTCACACGGTTTCAAATGGACATCATTCAAGGGAGCTCATACGCTGTGATTCTAGGAATTATAGAAGGTTGTCGGGTTCATTATATATGAGAAAATATTGTTTTAATGCCATATTATGTAATGTATATCCAAACTTAAATCACGTGACATGGCCATATATGGTGTTATTCAGATGTGATTCACGCATGTCACATCCCAGTGGGAGTTGTGTGACGGAGTTTGTTAAACGTGGCCGTTTATTATCTCAGTATTTCTGGGTATTTTAAAGAATAATTTTAAAATCTTGTTCTAATCGTCGTGATTATGATAGTTCAGACTTCGGCAAGTTCTCGTTTTGTCTGGAATTTGGGAAAACTAGTCTGAGAGATCAAAGCTTAGAAACTTGGTCAAATGTAACAAAAACATTAAACAAGGTTATGTTTAACTTGTAATCGAACATTCTCAAATGTTCACTAAGCATTTTTTTAATCCACACGTCAAGATTATAAATTATCTCAAGAAAAGTTTATTAAGAAGTTTATTAAGAAAAGTACGGTATGATAAGATTAAACACTGCTGAGTTTTATCTTAATAGTAGTGAACCATTATTAAATTTCAGTTTATTACTATGATGATAAGAATTGTTGCTGTTTCAGTGTGATAACAAGAACATGTACATAGAGCGGGTACAGCACCTTCCTGAGGTGGTCCAGAAGGAACTGATGACCAAGCTGCAGGAGGTTAGTCCACTGAGAGTAGTAAGATAATGGGGGGGGAGGTAGTTGTAGCGACTACTACACTGGTAATCTGGTAGTTGTAGCGACTAATTCTATAGTGTAAAACACACACACACACACACACACAATATACATGATGGTGTTAAACACAAATAAACTTTTGTTACATTCATTACACTTACTCATTGGTGGTAGGTTATATGGCAACATCAAATATATTGGCTCTGTTACATCGCTTCATGTTTATATCATTTCTGATTCTCATTCTTATATCATTTAACAATATTTATTTCACAATGTTATTTTACATCTGTAAACTCTTAATATGAGTCATTATAATTCTTTGAAACTTAACTTTGATTAACCAATAAATTAACAATTTCACTCAGACCAATTAATTCATATTTTATTGCAGCTCACAGAAACGAACGATGTGGTCATGTCAAGCTATATTGAACCGGAATCTCTTCAAAAGCCGTGAGTACATTAAACCAGCTTATTAAGTAAAAGAATACGAACACTTACACCTAAGAAAATGAACACAGAATATCCCCACACCTTTTCTTTAAATAGATCCCGATCTCTAACTACCAGGCTCTCTCTACTAGCAAATATCTAAATACCACCCGGCACACGTAATACCTTGACAGTTGACTATATATTAAAATAATCTGCATTTTAAATCATGAATATTACCTGATCTACGTCACATGTTTTAACTATAATATACTACGGGTATATATACATATATCCCATACAAACTACAAACTACAGTATTAATAACTTCAGAAGATACACTTTCAGTTCCACATAATGTTTATTATCAGCATTTAGCGGGTATATACAGCCAGGATACACATCCGCTCATCACATGTGATCATGTTCGGTCACGTGACAGTCTGTCTGTAAAAGGGCATTTTGTGATGTGATGCTCATATTTGCCTTTTAAAGACTCACACTAAAGTAGCATCATGATTGCACTGGTATCATTCTTACGATATAATATTATATAGTATAGATGTTTAGAGCTAAACAGTATATAATCAGCAAGTACAAAATACCGGACCAACTCGTACACGACCATATTATTAGTGGAGCAGTTTATTATTGACACTTTTTTTACGCACAGTAACATATTATAAACCCCTCCGGGATAGAATAAGATTCTGATAATCCCGGCTCCCGCTAAATAGATTCTGATAATCCCGGCTCCCGCTGTTAGTTTTTTCCCGCTGAATAAATAACCCCGGCACAGCTTTTATAATCCCGCCCCGCTAATTTGGCTCAACAAGATTTGTTTTGTTTTGATATTCCATGAGAATTTCAACCGCGTACTGTCACGTGTTTTGATGACGTGTATCACGTGACTAACTACTACGACGCGCATTGGTAAAAAATGTCACGTGACCTATGGCTTAACGTAAGAACTATAAATACACTCGATCTACGTATCGGTCTAATTGCAGGCGCTGGCAAAACTCCAGCACACTACATTACTTAAACTCTTACATTAATTGGACCAGTTCCAAAACTTGTCTCGACGGTTACATTTGATTTTGTCCGGTTCGGTTAATTTTGTCGAGTTTGATATGAGCCATGTATTATAGTCGTCTACTTTGATGAACTTCATGACACGATATCATTATTAGCTTTTATCGCTTGCCAGGCTTAACTCGACGCCCCTTATCGATATTCATATTCATTCAACGTTCTGACTGAGGAATAATGTTTAGATATAACGCCAATTTCAAAAGTCATAGTACCTTAGTTGTATTTATTTGGAAGTCCCCAATTCCATTTCATATTTTCCATAATGATCTCATATAGCTAGAATTAAGAGTAAAATGTCAAATTTGTTGGTCCTAGCACTAACCCGGAGGGGTTTATAACACATAACACCGGCACGCTTAAGTTATATTAAAATAACCCCTCGTGCTAAAGCACGTCGGGGTTATTTTCATAATAATCCCTCGTGCTTCGCACTCGAAATTATTATAAATTTTTCCCGCGCGTCGCGGGAAAAATTGAAATATAATCCCTGCGCATGCCGGGGTTATGTGTGTTATAACATTCATCACCCCCTGACCAACAAGAGTGGCGATTGCCGTAATAGTACAAAGTGTGTGCTGCTTTCAACTGTCACAACAACATTCCTGTGTCTACCCCCTCACAAAAGTGAAATTGTTTATTTTTACAGTCACATTACTGCTCCTTCTTGTATTTAATCATAAACGTATTGCCTGACATTTTATGTAAATTAAATGATACAAGTTGAGCAATTTATGTACTTTTAGAAATAAAGAAGCGTCTCATGCACCTGGATAAGAAACACACTACTGGTAGTGTTACTAGTGTATACTACTAGCAGGATATAGTAAGATGAATCACTGATGTCCAAGTCTGTAAGGCCTGTTTTTAAAACTATCGTAGCATACCCCTAGATTTTTGACAAACACTTGCTTTGTCCGTAAAACCTTTTAACGCTTTGTGTTATGATGAGAATAGTTGGCCCGTGAAGTGGTGGCGCTTTGTTGGCCTCTCTCTCCCATATTGTTCACAAGCCTGCGGAAACTTTTATTGTTCCCACCGGAAATTATATACGTACTGTACCGTCTATATGTTTTAGGGTTATACGGGTTCCTGCTAGTGATATAAGTGCGGGTCACTGTTTGTGTAATAGAAATGGGATTATGTTGTCGTACATTTGGATTAGTCCAGTATTACTTAGAAGTTAGAAGGGTTGACATAGAACAGTGATGTTATGTTCGACCCAGTATATCCTGTAGAGAGAGGGAATGGGGGGAGGGGGGGGGGGGGGAGAAAAGAGCGGGAGGGGGGAGGTCGGAGACAGTAGAGTGTGTCATAACATTATAATCAGACTGATGCGACTTTTGATAGCAGTGGCTGGAGCGACATATCGTAACCTTACACCGCTGATACCAAGTAACCTTCCTCCTCCTCCTCCTCCTCCTCCTCCTCCTCCTCCTCCTCCTCCTCCTCCTCCTCCTCCTCCTCCTCCTCCTCCTCCTCCTCCTCCTCCTCCTCCTCCTCCTTATAAAGCAGTGGCTGGAGCGACATATCGTAACCTTACACCGCTGATACCAAGTAACCTTCCTCCTCCTCCTTATAAAATTAAAGTTAAAAGTTTGACAGCTGACGGCCCACAGCTCGTATCGTCTACATTCCAACCCTCCTTATTTTTCAAACAACTGTTAAACGTAACATATAAGTAGAGGACACCCAGTACACCATAGATAAGGTGGTTAAACAATATGTTCTCTCTGTGGTACACTCTACTGCGGACACGGCGGACACTGCGCTGATTTCACTGCGGACACTGCGGACACAGCACTGATTTCACTGCGGACACTGCGGACACAGCACTGATTTCACTGCGGACACTGCGGACACAGCACTGATTTCACTGCGGACACAGCACTGGTTTCATTGCGGACACTGCGGACACAGCACTGATTTCACTGCGGACACAGCGCTGGTTTCACTGTGGACACTGCGGACACAGCACTGATTTCACTGCGGACACTGCGGACACAGCACTGATTTCACTGCGGACACAGCACTGGTTTCATTGCGGACACTGCGGACACAGCACTGATTTCACTGCGGACACAGCGCTGGTTTCACTGCGGACACTGCGCAGGTTTCAGTCCGGACACATTGGTTAGAGCGTAGCGCCTCTTCGTCGTGCTAGGAGGAGGACAGCTCAGCATCTGTTGGATATGCATTTATTCGAATTACTAGGACCTTATTTCTGGGAATACCATGACCTCATTTCTTTAATATTATGCATAGTATTTTTCAAACTGCACGCAAGGACAGCGTTTATTCGAACTGCTAAAACATGACCTTGTCATCACTCATCAGTCGAAAAAATTAAGCGACTAAGGAGTAGGCTGTTATGGTTCTGAATCAGTTCTCATCAGAGCTGCCAAGTACATTCCTCAGAATAAAATTTAGTTTATTTTGTAATTCTGGACCTCCTATATATTTAAATATAATTTCGAGAACTACTTCGAGCAGGCACAATTTCATCAGCCAGCTCATTATTATCAAGGTACAATTAATAATTGTAATGGTATGTTTAATATGAGGGTGTCGACTGTCGCTACAAATATATCGCTATCAACTGTAACAAGTCACCCCCCCCCCCCCTGTGAATCTCCAATCAGTTCTTTAGCCCCGAGCCACTATTGGCTACTATAAATACTACTATAAATACTACTATACCACAAACACTGGATTTGTACAGCTCGTTAGGTGTGCCAAGTTTTCGTCTATTTGTTAAAATATGTTGAGCTGCACGTCTCCTAGACACTGTAGCTATCATGTTACTACGAGTTGGGAGACAATGTTTTACATGTCGGGATCATTGAGAATGTTATTCTTCTTCCCAATATGTGTGTGTTTTAAGAGATGTTGCAATTATTATTGTACAGATCACTAGTTATTTAAAAGGAAACATTTTGCAGAAATGAAAAATTGAATTCTCTCTCAAGTATAAGAACCTTCGATAACTAAATAGTTACATTACTAGAGTTGCAGAGTGTAGTTACAAACAGCATGACACTACATTACATTACATACGTGTGAAGCAACCTAAACCTGCTCTAAACGAGATTGAGTCACTGATTGCTGAAACTTTCTCACTCATGACTAGAACCATCTATATTCTATAACCATGGTCCACGCCCAAATACAATCTACCGCCCTTTATCTTTTAAGCTTTGAGGAAACCGGTTATTCTTGTGTCTTAGAACAGTAACTGAATAGCTATATTATATGGAATACAAAGATTGTACTATGGAATACTATGTACATGTACTATGGAATACAAAGATTGTACTATGGAATTTAATCATATAAAATGAATGTCATTTTAGAAGGGACATCTGAAGCATCCCCACTCATGAACAACAGCCAAAATGTGGGCTAAAGTGCGGGAGTCTCGAGTTAGCACAATTAAACTTTACCGATCATTGGGCCACCTGGACCTGTCCTACAACTCCACATATAAAGAAAAACAATATTTTGTAAAATAATATGAAATGAGCTCCATAAAACATGAATTGGCAAAGTGCCAAAATATGTTGACACACTTGTAACCTGCTACTCCCCCCCCCCACCTGCTACTCGGACTCCGTTTTGAGAGAATGATATTGGCGGTGTTATTATGTTTGTCCTGTGTGTCGTGCCCGAGCTGGCCACTACTTCCACTGTGCTCCCCTAATGAGAGGTAATCAGGAGGAGACACGTGTGTAATCAGGAGGAGACACGTGTGTACTGTGTGTGTTGAGAGAGTTTGACTAAGGCAGAGGGAATAGTTGGGTTCGGTGGGTGCGGAATCGCACAATTTGTCGTACATTCATGGAAATGTATGCGTTATTTTGCAGTAAACATCAGAATATAATATGCAGAGTCGTATAATTTGGGAAGATTTTCCGTATCTAAATGTTTCTGGGGGAAATGCAACGACCATTAATGTCAGTATTTTGTATTTTGCCAGTACTGACATTGTCATTGATGGTCATTAATGGTTATTGATGGTCATTAATGGTTATTAATGGTCATTAACCGTTTTTTCAGTGAAGTGGACGGGCTATGTCACGTGATGTTGACGTCACTACAAAACGTGGTTCTGGAGAGGAACGAGATACACGAGAAATATATTCGAGTTGCTAACGAAAGAGACGATTACCTCGCTCAACAGGTGACTTTTAAACTTAATTAATTAATTTATTTATTAGCTTTAAATAGAAATAACTCTCATTATAACATGAAATTAATATCAGATCCACGAGTCAACAAATTAACAGATTTTTTAATTAATTTGTAACAGATTAAACGGCTTACGTTCATTTTTATCTCAAACAAGATGCACTAAAATTCTTACAAGGCTGCAAACTTTCCGTTCTCACGCCTAGAAAGCTAGAAAGAAAACCTTCTAACTCTTATTACAAAGTTTTAAGTGTCGATAGCAACCTGTAAAGCTGCCAATAGCATAGCTGCCCATGTCAGACACCTAATAAGAAGTCAAAGTAACACATTATCACTATTATAATATGTATTACTCATTGCCGCATGTATGGATATATCTGATAGCTATCTAAAAGCTATACCGTGGCATGAAGGCTGTATTAAAGTCTTGCTGTGGAATTCTGATAGCTATCTACAAGTTATGCTGTGGAATTTACTTTTATCTAAAGATAAAGTTTATTTGACCGAGTTGTTGCGAATAATAATAAGTTGTCCAAGTACAGTATCCATAAATAATATCTTAATTCTCACGGTCGTTTCTACTATTCAAGGTTATGATACAATTCGTTTTGTTTGTCAAACATGAGAAAAACTTCTGAATGACAGCACTCTGAAAAGAAGCCTTGTAGCCCTTCGACTCATTAAGTTTATAACTCCTAGATAAGTTGATGTCTTGTTGAGAGTTTGTACATGGTAGAACTAACTGATAATCGAACGTCACGATCTGTAAAGCGCAGATACAGCGCAGAACAGCATGGTGCAGAACAGTGCAGAGTAGTCTCGCAACTGTAAATGTGTAGGCTCCAAATTTCCCAGCGTTTAATAAAGAATAAATAAATTCGTAGTAGTACTGCTCGCAACGAGTCTAATTCTATTGTTCGCAATGCGTCTGTGCGGAAAATGCATAACATTTAAAACTAGTAATTTTGCGGTAAATATTACAATCGCTAATCTTTTTAATCATGTGTTACTTCACCACGGGTGTTGTACTTTTAAAAGCTCGTTATTGTGTACGTGCGAAAACTGAAGGAAGGAAGGAGCATGGGGAGTGGCAATTTTAAAGTTGCTCAAATTTACGATTGCCACTCAAGTAATACCTATATACTCAAGTCCTTTTTATGATCTTCAACGTGCAATACGTCACTTTCTTAAAAGTTGATTAGTCGTTTGCTCCTTCATAAATAAAACGTTTGGAGAGGAGGCGTGAAATAAACTTAAACAATAGTAATGATAATTGAGATGCACACAGCTGGTCATACTTAATTCAGCTATCGAGGCTTTTGAACTATAATTTAGTTGAAACTAACTATCAAGTTATAAGCTATACCAGGAGATGACGTATCTTGTGCTAGTACTCTAGTTATAAGCTATACCAGGAGATGACGTATCTTGTGCTAGTACTCTAGCAGGGAGGGAAACTGCTGAGCAATCTCTAAATCTTCACTACTATCGCACTATATGTGCGATTCTTTAAAGCCATAGATAATATTATATTCCCGACCAAAAATCTTCAAATTCCAACCTGTAAAATAGTCTTGGATTTTCCTTTTCCGGTTCACCTTAGCACACATTGGCTTGGTGTCTTAAAATACCTGAAATTCTTCATCGTGCAATGCTCTTAAAAAGTTAAATCAGTTTCTTGAGGTACTTTCAACTTTATTCAACGTGTTATCAATATTTCTGGCACAATTCTCTTAGTTGTTTTGTGCATTGGACAAAATTGCTAAAGTTCGGTATTTTAGGGAAATAACTCTGTCGAAAAATTTCGAAGATTTAGTTTATGCGATATCGTTCTGTTATGCTCTAACTGACATGTTTTAAAGATAAAAAACTAATTTTACTAGTTTGAATTAGAGTTTGACAAAGTCTCATTCCACGTCAACTATCAGCTTCACAAGGTTTCAATTCTTGGGATTCTACTAAGCGATCTAGCAGATGTAAGTTGTAATACCTCAATAATTCATCGCAATCTTATTAAAGTTAGTACACGGTCGTCTCTGGATACTTTATTTCTGTAGACTGATCCAAACTAGGGGGGGGGGGGCCAAACTAGCGGGGGGGGGGGGGGGTTACCAAACTAGGGGGGGGGGGGGGGGGGGTTGCCAAACTAGGGGGGGGGGGGGGGACCGGGGGGTTGCCAAACATTTATTGTATAATATATATATATACAATTGATATAAGGAAAATTTATTAGTCGAAACGGAAAGGCTACAATCCATCTTCCGTTACTGATTGAGGCTAGAATTGCCAATGAAACTTCGATAAATTTGGTATTATATCATTAGAAAAAGGTTTGACTTACATGGCTGACATTTCATATGTTTCTGAATTAATGTGAAAAGAGGAAGGAACATTAGTGTAGAAGCAGTTGAGGTAAAAATACTGTAACCAAGCAACTTCACGCTCGGTCACGTGCAAGTGTGACGGTTAGTCCGAGATAAACCACATCATGTACGCGTTACATCGTTGGTTTTAAACATATTTTCTTTGGATAAAGGTGATAAACTTTAAAACACGATAACCTCAAGCTCATTTGTTTTTCTAATTGTGTGGTGGAGAATAAAGTGTTGGACGTGGAATGTTGAGAGAGTGAGAGGATAAGTGTAACAACAACAACACAAAACTGGGGACAATTACAAGATAGTCGGACGGGTTGTGTCTGATGTTTGCCATTTTGATTGTTGTCCTTCACTTCCAAGCTTAACTTCATATGACGCAATAACACAATTAAGTTGTGCTGTGAATTTTCCGACCTCGTAAAGAGGTGGACAGTGGAAGAGAGGAAGATAATAAGACAGTCTCTCGATTAAAGGATTAAAGAGGTGAACAGTGGAAGAGAGGAAGATAATAAGACAGTTAAGGTTTTTTTTTCTGGGTGCCACAGACCCACCCAATGGTGCTGACTTTTTTGGGTTAAAGACCCACTTTTCCATTGAATGTGGCTCGCTGGCTGAGCTGCGCTCGCAGTAACAGTTCACCACCAAATTTTTTAATCCAATTTTTTGAACTTTCCCTATCAACAATCTTAGAGATTGGACTAAATATTACATTCCATAATTTAGGACTTGAAGTTGATGACCTTCTTCCGTCAGAATAATTATATTTACTATTCATATATGGTATATTTTTAGATGGTCCGTTCGAGTAATGTCAGCGGTGGAGACGGTGGTGACGCCAACTCCAACATATTTAACCCGAAGAAGAAATCATTTGTATCAACAACCATTGCATTAATGATCAGCTTCGCCACATTTAACATCCGTGGGCTCGGTGTTCAGCAAGATGATAGCCTACATAGTAAACGTGAGTTACTAGGATTAGACTGTGAAAAGTACAATGTCGACATCTGCGCTCTGCAGGAAACTAAAGTCACCGAATCAGACAGCCTTGTTTTGCGCAACGGTTTTAACTTGTTTCTGTTCGAGCAGTTGGAAAGTCGCCATGGAGGCTTGGGTTTTATAATCAGTCCTCGCATGATGAACTATGTGGTTTGCTGGAAGTACATCAGTGACCGGGTATGCTATGTCGATATTTGCATCCCCTCACGTAGCGGTACACCCCTACGTTGCAGGGTGATCAATGCCTACTGTCCACATCAGGGGCTAGTCCGTAAAAATCCAGTTGTTTTGGATAACTTTTATGGGCAGCTAAGAGAGGCTAAGAATGTACCCTCTAATGTGGAGTTGCAATTTCTGGGTGACTTTAATTCAAAACTGGGTAAATTATCTCCTTCTGATATTGAACAGGGTTTTGGTAGATATATGGGGAAATACGGAATGGGAGTAAGGAACGAAAATGGTTCTAGATTACTGGATTTTATCTCAGAAAATAATCTGTTTGCTGTGAACACTAGTTTTATACAACCTAGCAGACGTGTTACATCATTTACTGGTTGGCGGAAGGATTGGTCGGCTGGTCGGTACAGTAAGAAGACACTGCCTGTATACTCTCAAATAGATTACATACTATGCCGAAATAGATCTAAGTGTCTTTTGACTCAATCAAGAACTTATGCTGGTACTAAAACATTTTCAGATCATAGACTTGTCATTGCTCGCATCAATTTCAGCAACATTCATCTTTGTTTCAAACCTAAACAACGTCGTGTTCCTTCTTATAATATATCAGAACTTGTAAGCAACAAAGATATGCAACATAAATATCACTTGGCCCTTGAAGGCAAGTTCTCAAATTTTGTGACCAGCAACGATCCAAATGCCGACCTTCAAAATCTTATGTCTCATATTCGTGATGCTGCCAATGTTTCCATCGGCCCAAAACCTAAAGCTCGCTTGAAACATCACAGCAGTGATGACACTCTCAAAGAGCTTGTTGAAAAGCGTCACGATCTCCGACAGCTACTTAACAATAATCAATCTCTTGATCGAACTACATTGAGGTCATCCATCAACCACCTCACTAATAGTATCCAGAAAAGATTAGTTGAAGTGAGGTCTGCTCAAGCTGATCAGACCTATAGTGATATTACTAACACAAACGATTCAAGGAAAATGTTTGAAGCAGTAAGACATCTTCAGAAAAGTAAACCACCTAATAACTCGATTGGTGTTCATGATGAAAATGGCTGTTTGATTGCATCTGACGACATGAAAGCTTCTGTTGTTAGAGACTATCTCGAAAAACAGCTGACTCGCAATGAGCAACCTCTCGAGCCTTTTGAGGGACTACCACGTGCTCTCAATGTCCCTTTTACTGGAGTTGAAATACATGCAGCCACCTCTAGCTTGAAAAATGGGAGGGCAAATGGTCCCGATGGAATACCCAACGAGCTAATTAAGTACTCTAATAGTACAGTCCATGAACATTATGCTGGAATCATCAACAGTTGTTTCGAGACACATACTTTCCCCATTTCCATTGGAGAGGCTACTATAACACCCTTACAGAAGCCAAAAAAACCTATTGGTCCTCTGAAGAATTTACGTCCACTCA